TTTCACCACCATGTGTTGAAAATGTACGTAGATATTTCACCTCCAGTTGTTGAAAATGTACGAAGATGTTTTACTACCAGTTGTTGAAAGTGCACGTAGATGTTTCACTATCAGTTGTTGAAAATGTACGTAGGTGTTTCAACACCATGTGTTGAAAATGTACGTAGATGTTTCACTACCAGTTGTTGAAAATGTACGTAGATGTTTCACTACCAGTTGTTGAAAATGTACGTAGATGTTTCACTACCAGTTGTTGAAAATGTACCTAGATGTTTCACTACAAGTTGTTGAAGATGCACGTAGATGATTCACTATCAGTTGTTGAAGATGTACGTAGATGTTTCACTATCAGTTGTTGAAAATGCACGTAGATATTTCACCTCCAGTTCTTGAAAATGTACGTAGATGTTTCACTACCAGTTGTTGAAAATGTACGTAGATGTTTCACTACTTTTGTTGAAAATGTACATAGATGTTTCACTACTAGTTGTTGAAAATGTACGTAGATGTTTCACTACCAGTTGTTGAAAATGTACGTAGATGTTTCACTACCAGTTGTTAAAAATGTACGAAGATGTTTCACTACCAGTTGTTGAAGATGTACGTAGTTGTTTCACTACCAGTGTTTGAAAATGTACGTAGATGTTTCACTACTTTTGTTGAAAATGTACATAGATGTTTCACTACTAGTTGTTGAAAATGTACGTAGGTGTTTCACTACCAGGTGTTTAAAATGTACGTAGATGTTTCACTACCAGTTGTTGAAAATGTACGAAGATGTTTTACTACTAGTTGTTGAAAATGCACGTAGATGTTTCACTACAAGTTGTTGGAGATGTAGGTAAGTGTTTTATACAGTATTACCTTATTTATCAGAAGAAAAAACAGGTTATGCAGATCTTCATGTGTTCCAGTTTGGTCAAGCCCGCAGGAACTGACATGGTACAGTTAGTGAGTGAGTGGGTGAGTATGGTTTTACGCCGCTGTTAGCAATATTCCAGCAATATCACCGCGGGGGACACCAGAAATGGGCTTCATACATTGTCCTCATGTGGGGAATCGAACCCGGGTCTTCGGCGTGACGAGCGGACGTTTTAACCATTAGGCTACCCCACCACCCCCACATGGTACACACAAACCTGACAAAGACACACCAGAGATTCAAACCTATGACCAAGGGTTTCTGGCACGCCTTTCACCCATGCAAGTGGTCGTGAACAGTGTTTACTCTGTTGTCAGCAGTGTTCAATCTGCATCACGACAGTCTGTTACACGTCTGGACCTTCACACGTGACATGTCTAGATTTACACTGAAACACGATGTGCAGCCTTTTCTTCTTATATACCAGAAGTGTTATATGAAGGTTTCACCATCGTCTTTGGAAATAAGCTGCGTTTCGAATTAGCGATCAATGGCTACCTTTAACAAGATTAACCACACACCTCTGTATTTGTACAGAAGGGCCTTGGAATTGATTGATTATCAAGGCAAGCATGTAATATATATAACATCGTGGTAAAAACTGATCGATGATGAGTCTGACACTCATGATGTCAAGCGCTTAATTATCTGGTCTATGTAAACTTATTAAATATAACTGTGTGTGTGTGTGTTGGTTAGTGTCTCTCTCTCTCTCTCTCTCTCTCTCTCTCTCTCTCTCTCTCTCTCTCTCTCTCTCTCTCTCTCTCTCTCTCTCTCTCTCTCTCTCTCTCTCTCTCTCTCTCTCTCTCTCTCTCTCTCTCTCTCTCTCTCTCTCCGACGCCAGCCACCGTCGTGGTGTAACATAATCTCGGGGGAAATTGAATCCAAATACATGAGGTCTCACTGTTAAAGTATGCAAACTCCATATGCATCTCGACCCGTGAAAATCCGGGGTAGAATAGGTCTTCAGCAACCCATGCTTGCCACAAATTAAGGCGACTATGCTTGTCGTAAGAGGCGACTAACGGGACCGGGTGGTCAGGCTCGCTGACTTGGTTGACATATGTCATCGGTTCCCCATTGCGCAGATCGATGCTCATGCTGTTGATCACTGGATTGTCTAGTCCAGACTCGATTATTTACAGACCGCCGCCATATAGCTGGAATATTGCTGAGTGCGGCGTAAAACAAACAAACCAAACCAAAACCAAATCCTATTGCTATAGTTACACTGTAATGTAGGGATAACTCACTCACTCACTCAGTGAAAACACCTTGTCTGTATCCTTCCAGCCCTGGAATTAACACGATTGGTATTGGTGTCCATAGGTTTGTTTGGTATGATGAGAAAGACAGAAATACGTCACGACGTATAACCAAGACAATACAGTAATTAAAGGCTCGGGCTTCCACCTCGCTGTCTGACACTGTCGGCTCAGGATCATCACCTGACGTCAGTCAGTTTGCTGGGTAACGCTGCTGAGCATGACAAAGCACTGGGCTATCTGTCTATAATGACCTTTAAGGGTGTATTCCCATACTGCCTACAGGTTAAAACAACATAACACGGTCCAGTGATCAGGAAGTGAATACACCGATCTGACCTGTTCTACCCCTGCTAAAATGAACTTGACTAGTTAGCTGGTTGGGGCGGTGGGGTAGTCTAGTGGTTAAAGCGTTGGCTCGTCACGCCGAAGACCCGGGTTCGAATCCCCAAATGGGTACAATGAGTGAAGCCCATTTCTGGCGTCTCCCGCCGTGATATTGCTGGAATATTGCTAAAAGCGGCGTAAAACCAAACTCAGTCAGTCAGTCAGTTAGCTGGTTAATTCCATGGTGTCTTCCCACTCTGCCTACAAAAGTTTAAAAAAATGACAAGTGTTGGTTGGTAGGACATCTTTATTCATTCTGAGAATTCTCAGACTTTACATGGAGACATGGATTTATCATGAAAAACTGATAGGTTTTACAGTCTTTCACTGGTTTTACAGTCTTTTACTGGTTTTACAGTCTTTTACTGGTTTTACAGTCTTTTACTGGTTTTACAGTCTTTCACTGGTTTTACAGTCTTTTACTGGTTTTACAGTCTTTTACTGGTTTTACAGTCTTTTACTTGTTTCACAATTACACACAACTGACAATCACTTTGCAAACTTGATGAGATGTCCAGCAGCATCAAGGTAGTGAAGAGGCGTTTTTCTCCCGCTCTGGAGGTGCTCCTTCAGTCTCAGAAGTCTCGCATCGAGCTCTCTGTAAACACGCTTGCGAGACTTGGGGAGGGAACCACAGTCGAGCTGAGCACGTTTATAGCACGTTTAAGCTGGTATAGCTGGCCGGTTATAGCGCAGCCTGATCCCTCTGTTGATATTTCTGTATTGTACAGTATATAGTAGGCACGGGTTAATTCCTTAGACATAAACAATCAAACAAACTGATGGAGATTGATAGGATGTTATTTGCTGAAATTAACCTAGCCGCAACAGTTTGGTAGAAACGGATGTTCCTTCAGTGACTGACTGACTGAGTTTGGTTTTACGCCGCTTTTAGCAATATTCCAGCAACATCACGGCGGTCCTTCAGTGAAGTCATGTTAGTAGTTCTGATGTGATTGAAATTAATCTAGATTCGTTTACTCTGTTCCGGAATTTGATATTTATATCTATATAAACCTGCAGGATTAAAATGAACATTAAGTTTGTTAGTTTTGGAGGCTTTAGAATTAGACCCTATTTCCCATTGCCTTCGATTATTTTATGGACGCAAACTGAATAGAAATATGAACAAAAATCAACCATGTAAATAAATATACGATTCCAATACAATAACACTAATTCCATAAATACTTTTACGTTTGTACCCTTTCTGCGGCATTGAAGCTGAACTTATATATATTATATAAACTTTTATTTAAACTTTTACTGTTTGTTTTCACTTAGAGTGAGTATTTACATAAGAGATGTAAATATGCTTTAGTTAGTTTTCATATGATGCTTTTACGTGAATGAGATTCACTGACATTAACTTTCATTTAATTGGGATTATTATTAACTAATTTATAACTTCATTATTTTCTGCATATAACGCCTCCGCGACTGATCACTAATGCCATATACAATGGCAGGCATTTTTTTAAAGACATGCACCCCATTTTGTTCGTTCGCTTTGCTTTTCTTGGGAACGAAGCGCACGTTTAGTGTACACAACCTTCCTCAACACCACTCTCTTTTTCCAAAATCTGTGCCGCCGTGATGTTGCTGGAATATTGCTAAAAGCGGCGTAAAACCATACTCACTCACTCACTCCAAAATCTGTGATCCGACACGGTTTGATTAGGACATTTTATATCATACTGTGCCAGGGTAATAACAGTAGCCCGTATTGTGGTTAGTCTAATGCTTAGTGGGAAACTGCTGCGGTTCAGGAATGGTGAGGCAGTCTATGTGGTGTAAGTTTACCTGAACTGTTTCTTTATCATTGTATTTATATCAGTATCTGGGGCGGTGGGGTAGCTTGGTGGTTAAAACGTCCTCTCGTCACGCCGAATACCTGGGTTCGATTCTCCACTTGGGTAGAATGTGTGAAGCCCATTTCTGGTGTCCTCGCCGTGATGTTGCTGGAATATTGCTAAAAGCGACGTAAAACCATACTCACTCACTATATCAGAATCTATACACTTGGGAGATTTGGAAACCAGAGAGTGTTTGGTGCAGCTTAGTCTGAGCTTACTCCTGTCATTCACTGATGATGAGAGAAGAAGTAATTATACATTTTTATAATTGGCATTTCATATTCCGATGTACCAGTGAATCTTTTTTCAATTGTTCTGAATGTCTTTTTCGCGACATCGTTCAAACGATTCTACTTGATGAAAAAATTAAATATAGTTCGGATAAAAACTAACTGAAGTATAGAAAACTATGAAAGTTTAGATTTTCTTTTTGTTTGTGTGCGACACATGTGACATTCCCAGCATGAACAAATATATTTATACCATCCCACCCAAAAATCAATTTTCTCAACAGCGGAGGTGGTGAAGATAAAGGGGAGATAACCAGTAAGATCCAATCAGGTGCGCGCCCCACATGCATCCACATTGATCGCGTGCAATGTTTGAAACAAATGGCGGCCAGTCTTGTTCACAAACTGGCGGTTCGAGAGGTAAGGAATCGATAAAGTGATATGACACAAATTTCAAGGAAGAATGTACTTCTTCACATTTTAGAGAACTGCCACCGATTCTGTTCAAGTCCACCTCACGATAAGACTTCCGACCTGAAGAATCGACTACCCTATTGTTTTTCCATATAGTCACCTAAATTCGTGAGGGCGTTAGATTGTCAAAGTTTATGTCAACTTCAATGGGAGGTTCACACTTTGACATAAGCCACACATGCAACACAGCATCTTAACGATGGTAGTTGACTTTATCTGACAGATGTTTAATTGGTCAATGAATTGAAATTGACAGCTTTCTGTTTGTTGTCAATAACAAAATGTCATTATTGACACTTCTGGGTCGCATGTCAGTCATTTCATTCTCTTTGCGTGATACCTTTTCGTAAGACGGTATGTTTGTATGTTAATGTTTTAGATAGAATGTAGATAAAATGGCATACCTATCTTGACTTTGTCACCTTTATGTTTCTGTGAATATTGGTTGTCGTTTTGTCATTTCATTTCTGAGCACGCTTGTTTTTTAGTTGCTTTAAGCTGTAGTGTCAGCTTTTTAAAATCCTTTGGGTTTTCTTTCGAAAATTTGTATAGAACAAATTCAACACCATAACAATTGTAAGTTTGAATTGTTAAGGAACAGTTGCACCAGAATCTGTATCTGTCACATTGTTTCTTATAAGTCCCAGACATTTTTCACAGGTTACTTCTTCATTCACTGATAATTCACTGACGTGTTGTGTGGCAAGAATACATATGTTGATATCCTCATGTCTTGCGTCAGTATTAATTCTTCATTCACTGATGATAGAAGAAATGGTAGCCCCCATGTCATGTATCAAAAATATGTATGTTGAAAATTCACATATCTTGTGCCAATATTAGTTCTTCATTCACTGATGAGAGAGGAAATGATGGCCCCTTGTTATGCTAAGAATACATGTGTTGAAAACCACATATCTTGTGCTTCTGTTAACTACCATCTTATTTTGCTAACTATCTGTCAAAGACAGGTTGACATTAGGCAGACACCCATTTAGTTTGTATGCAGTTTTCATCACAATTAATCCAGATCTGTGTTGAAGGAAAGTCAGGGAGTGCATGCCATAAACATGACTATTATGTTAAAGGGGTGGAGGGGTAGCCTAATGGATAAAGCATCCGCCTGTAATGCAGAAGACCCGTGTTCGACTCCCCACATTGGTACAATGTGTAAAGCCCTTTTCTGGTGTTTCCTGCTGTGATATTGCTGGAATATGGCTAAAAGTGACGTAAAACAATACTCACTCACTATTTTCTTATAGGTTACAGATTTAGGTGGTTCCCATTTAGGGATTCAAATACTTAAGTCGCAAAAGTTAAAGATTCCCAGGAACCACCTCAATTTCAAAAACTGCTAACGCTATTTTCAGTGACCAATATTTGATGAGGCCACATATTTTATTCAGTCAGTACTTGCACATGAAGGAAGGGACTGTAAGAGAAACTGATTTCATTTTCAACCTAATACGTAAACAGAATATTTAACCATGTTGACTGAGATCACTTATTGTCAGAAATATCTTGTAGACAAATACTCATGACTTTTATCATTCACATTTGCTGGTTACCAATATGTCATGCTTGGTGACAACATCTATTTTCACAGTCAACGTTAGCCATTGGCTATTCATTGTCTATTTATATCTTTCAAACAGATACTTTTCTCTTTTTCTTCATGGTCTTTATCAGTCAAATGGGCGATTATTCAAGTTCCATTTCAAATTTACACAAGACACTAATTCAATCTCTTGTCCTTCTGTAAACCTCAGCATGAGACTGGAGTTGACATTGTAAGGGAGGTTTTGTTCCCAAACAGAAATCTTATTATGTATTTGGTCATAAGTATCATGTGTAGTACAGTTTACCTGGTTAAATTACATCTGTTAAGATTGTATTTTCATTCATATCAAATTTGTATTGTATTTGTTTTGCTTTTTTGTTGTTGTTTAAGTCATCAGTATTCCAGCTATGTGGAGGCAGTCTGTTAATAATCGAGTCTGGATTTTGTATTGTAAGTGTGATGAACAGAGAACTAATTTGTAAGGAAAGGCTTAGGATGGATCGAACATTACCATGCTTACAAAATCCAGCTTAACAAGTACACAGTGAAATGATTATGGCATTATAGTAAGCTAGTGGAGACATAATTTTGTCATGGCAACATCCATGCTGTGTTGTAAGAATGTAGTGTTAACGAGCAGAATAGTACAAATGAATGTTTACATTGTTCTCCTCTATGGTTTTCCAGGCTGTATCTTGCATTATTTCAGTTGGTTCTTGGAGAATTGAGAACTATAACTTGACATGAGTGACAATTTGAAAATAAGTGTCACTTCTTTGAGAAGCAAATAAAAGTTGGAGTACTAAATAAGGATAAGATGTATGGATGAACAACTTCTATATTTACAATGAGGAGGGACGTTTTTGATAACAGTGTTAGAATCTACACGGAAAGGTCACTTCTCATTGTGAAAAGAGAAGTTGTTCATCTATATGTCTTATCTTTCAATAACCGTTGCCTTTTTAACCCATCTGGAGTGTTCCTGTTCCTTACAAAATCAACATTGCTACTTGTTGTTGTTGTTATTCAGGCTTTTACATGACGTGCCCAGTACACAGTACACTACAATATTCCATCATATCATGTCTGACAGTACACTATAATATTCCATCATATCATGTCTGACAGTACACTACAATATTCCATCATATCATGTCTGACAGTACACTATAATATTCCATCATGTCATGTCAGACAGTACACTACAGTATTCCATCATGTCATGTCTGACAGTACACTACAATACTCCATCATGTCATGTCAGACAGTACACTACAATATTCCATCATGTCATGCAGACAGTACACTACAATACTCCATCATGTCATGTCAGACAGTACACTACAATATTCCATCATATCATGTCTGACAGTACACTACAATATTCCATCATGTCATGCTGACAGTACACTACAATATTCCATCATGTCAGACAGTACACTACAATATTCCATCATATTATGTCAGACAGTACACTACAATATTCCATCATATCATGTCTGACAGTACACTACAATATTCCATCATATCATGTCTGACAGTACACTACAATATTATCATGTCTGGCAGTCCATCATATCATGTCTGGCAGTACACTACAATATTCCATCATATCATGTCAGACAGTACACTACAATATTCCATCATATCATGTCAGACAGTACACTACAATATTCCATCATATCATGTCTGACAGTACACTACAATATTCCATCATATCATGTCTGACAGTACACTACAATATTCCATCATGTCATGTCTGACAGTACACTACAATATTCCATCATATCATGTCAGACAGTACACTACAATATGCATCATTAGTGTACAAGACCTTCATATTTCATGTAAGGACCTTTGAAATTAATTATTAGGGGTCCTCTTGATGCCTAAATTTGTAGGTGAGCGAGAACCATGATTTTTACATTATTTACTTCTTTGAGAGACGTGAGAAAGAATTGGAGTACTGTGGAAGGATAAGATATATCCTATATTACAATAAGGAGTGGCATTTTGAAGCAGGTTCAAGTATCATTATCAAGTAACTTATTTGATTTGGTTGAAGAAACCGGTTCATTATTATAGCGTATCCTTGTTGAATCCATATATTGTGTGATCTCTCCTTTATCTATAAGCCTCAATGGAAGACATAACAAACATGTTTACTTCTTTTCAATCTGAATGCGGAAATGTATCAGTGCCATGTGTTGCCAGGTGTGTCATGGTTGTTATTGAACATGTGGAAGCACAGGTGGTCTTCAGCACTCAACGACATGGCATGAAAAGTGTCTGACTCCGACTTACTTTGTGGCATGCCATCTGGCATACCAGGGTCGTCATGCTTTCAAGCATATTTAATGTCATCTTGACATGGATGAAACATGGAAGGTGGTGTGTGGTCCTGTGCATAGAGCCAAGGTCACAAATCAGTTGAAGTTATGTAACGTTTGTCGTGGACAGTCCTTGGATGGGTGACCGTGTTTGGCAGCTTGACTCCTGAAAGTTTCTAGGACTTAAGTCCTGACCCACAACGAAGCACATGTGAAACATGTGGTCTTACCTTAGGCAAGTGAGTTTGTTCATGAATTGCCTCTGTTCACCCAGCAGTAAATGGGTACCTGGTGGGATAAGTCATATGACTGTTAACCTTCTAGCGCCACATAGGCAGCTTGGGTTATCTGGGGTAATAATTCGTTAGCGCTTTGAGCATGCCAGTGTGTGGAAACATGAGCTTTATAAATAGCCATTATATTGCTTAAACATGTTAAACATGTCACTCACACTAATCAATAATTTTAAGAATTTGTTGTTGCTTTACCATTTCTTTTTTGTTTCGTTTCAGCAAACTGGTAAATTAAAAATACAGAAGAAATCATTATCATGGAAACCTTTTACCAAAATCCCTGGCCGACTGTGTTATCGCCTCAAGTCTCTTGTACCCCAGTTTGTCCTGGAAGAAGGGTATGTATAATGTTGGGGGACCCAAACTCTGACTTTCATGGAGTTTCAAGATAATGTTATTTTCATGGGAGCAATGATATTACCTTGAACGTTTAATGCATTCCAGAATGTTTCTGTAATTTGATCCGGCCCCAATTTCTCGAAACAAACTAAGTCTGAGTTTTGACTTAAGTCAGAGTTTTTACTCAAATCCCAGAATAAACTGAAATCAATATTAAACTCAAACTTAGTAGAACATTTGCGTTTGGTGGATAGATTACTTAAGTTGTTTGGGCTTTTTTTTTATTTAAAAAATGCAGTTGAGTTAAAAATTCAGCTGTTTCAAATTGTCTACCTCAGTTTGAAATTTGAGTAAAAAGTTTTTGATGTATTGTTCTGGGGACAACATTTTTGAACAGTTGATCTTGATATGAATATGATGAACCAATCTGAGACATTGATTTAGTGTAGTCTATTGTAAGGATTGGAAAGCCACAAAATAACTCGGTGCGCCTAGTAGCTGCAAGTGTTGTATGCTCCCCAGGGATTGATAATACGATGTGCCGTTGAGATTGACATCCAATGATTGAGGGAAAAATACCAGCGCCTTGAGCATGTACTAGTTGCATGGATATGTGTGCTATATAAATATTCTAGAATAAGAATGAATAGTCATTTGTGTGTTTGTTGAATACTACATGTGTACAATCTGTTATCTGTGATGCATCAGGGTTTCGGGGTCCTGGGGCTTGCTAATATCTCAGTCAGGGACACCAGAATTTAGTTTTGGTAAATTGATATGTTCCAAATGTAAACACAAGATTATGAATAGCATTTGCTCATCAAAGTCAGTATTGAAACTGATCAATGCTGAAAAGAGTAATTTTGATCCACATGATATACTTTATGGGTTGGGTTGATAAAAGTGTCATTTTTCCTCAAGATTGTAGCTAAAAGGGTGGTGTATATCTGTCATAATGACATTTCCATGTGGATAACCTGTCTCTATAGACAGGGAAGACCCATGACATTGAAATTGATTCCGCGCATAGCTGCACACGCCTTGCTCATAAGACTCTCACGTCGGTGTAGCAAGTCGCACTACACTTAATCACGGATAACCTGGGGCCCCTTCGCTAACAATAGCAAGCACCAACTGGCGGCACTCATACATGATAATGCGGGTTAATTGTCAGGCCAGTGCTCAACTTATCCTTGTTTGCCAGTAGTATCCCATGCTTGTTGTAAAGGCACCTAATGGGATTGGGTGGTCGGGCATGGTGACGTGGATGTCAATGTATCCAAGTTGCCTAGATCGATGCTGGTGATGTCAATCACTGGATTGTGTGATCCTGGAACGATTATTTAGTAACCCTGTCACATAGTGTGGTTAAGCATTTTTGCTGAGTGCAGCTTTTAAACAAGTCACAAATCTTAGCACTAACGTGATTGTAACTCCAATACTTTAACAAATACTTATGACAATCATAAGGCTAAGGTTGTTTTGTACACCAAGGTGTGATTACTTTCAGATGATGTAGCTGTAATATTGTTCACTGTGTGTGTTCTCCTTGTTTGCAGACATGTATTCCTAGGTTTTACCAAGTCAGGTCAGTTTGTGTTGTCTTACTCCCTCCATGTGGATGCTGATGAACACACAGCCTACCCTGTCTATGTCTACAGGCTGCACTGGTGGAGGTTTGTCCCGGAGAGGCCACTGGAACTGGTAAGCTGTCGTACTTGGCATCTCGGGCATTGGTCCAGAGGTTCTGAAGCCCTTGAAGTGTTCTGTGTAGAATGTTTCCTTGATCATTCTTTGTTCACCACAGGATTTTCACAAGAAATCTTTGATATTTTAAGGAATTGTTCTGATATGTTTGTAGTAGCCATCTTCCACGACAATGCAGCTTTCCATTTTCGTTGTTCACTCTCAATGCATCTGGTTAACCCTCCAACATCCTGTATGTCATGTTGTTGTTTTTTGTATCTCATCAACAGAGCTACAGATAACTAATGGGTCATTGAGTTATGTACTCGCTTGTGTTCATCTCAATTGGGTATCACAATTTTCCTTTGAGTAACCAAATAAATTGTACCCACCTCACTCAAACTCAATTGGGTATTTTGACATTTTCCGTTAATTGTAAAAATGTAATAAAGTTTAAATGTTCATTTACATGTTTATTATTCATAGTTGATCAGTAGGATGAGAAATGATAAGAAAGACTGCAAGTTGCCAAGTTCATGTGCTGAAATAGAAGCTCTCAATGTACCTCAGTTATTTGATCTATCCTCAGTAACCTCCAGGCTAAGATTTGACATCTTTGTGTTACGCATGTAAGATCAAATTATTGAGTATTTACCAAAATTTACGCAACAGACTTAATAGGAATTTGGTTTTCACATAAGTATTTGCGTAATTAACGCAGATACGCAGCTTATCTGTACCTCTACATCAACATGATAGGTTATGGCCCACCAGAGCAAGTGACAGAACAGACACTGTAAGAAGGGAGATAATTTTCATAGTCAATATTACCCCTTCATCCATGTCAGTTCAAAGGCATCCTGTTATGTTTAAGTTTAGAGAGCAGAATAATTTAAGATTCATTTTTCCATAGCTATATCTATTTAGAGACTTACAATTGATGTTGTTTTTGTGTAGGTGTCAGAAGTACGGTTGTTTGGAGAAGAAGATATAGTCCAAGATCTGTTCCTTGCATTTTGTGAGTGGCCAGAAGATGACACAAAGGTTCTTGTGTACGGTCATTGGTGAGTGTTTTCAGCATAGGGCAGTCCCTCCTGGATTCCTCGGTGAATTTTTAAGAATTCCACTGCAAATTTAGTAAATTCTGCATCCCATTTTTCAAAATTCTGCAGTTAAAAACTTGAAAAGACACACAATATAATGCAATTTCAGTCTTCAAAAAGAATTTTGTGAACATGATTGCAGTGAAAAATTCAAAAAATATTATTGTAAGGTGCTGAAGAAAATATTACCTCATGAATATATTCATCTTTATTCGTGAATATTTTGAAAATGTTGTTATAGCAAATGTTTTTGTGTAACCAATCATACGTTTGACACATACCCCTACTTTTCGTTTCGCTTGATAGTCAATATTGATTCAACGATCCAAATAAGTAAATTCCGCGGCAGAAAAATGGCAAATTCTGCATGTCTTCTGCATGAAAATGCATTTTCCGTGGACATTTTTCTGCATCAAAAGGTAATTTCCGCAATTTATTTTGCAACCGCGGAATCCAGGAAGGACTGATAGGGAAAGTATATGGATTACATTCACTGTACCAGTAAGTCCAAAGATATTTAAAATATGGGTTCACAGGCAATTAGTGGACAAGTTCTAGTTGATTAGGTGCTGAAAATATTCTGAGCAGGATGTGCTTTTTCTTCAATATTTTGTAATGATTGCCAGTGCCTGTTTTTTGTTATTACTTGCATGATTACATGATAAACATTTTCAGGTCCAATAACCATGGTAACTCCTGACAAGCTACTTCGACATCATGTCAGTTCTCATTGTGAGAGTTAACCCATTGACCCATATTTGATAGAAGTGTAAAATAAAGATGAGATTTGTAGATTTGACTCAAACTAGCTGTATTTCAGCTAGTGGTGGTCCGATTAATTGAAATAATCAAAGATTGGTCGCAGTGACTAAACGACCAAGCAGTCAATATGTTTTCTCATAATCGAAACACGACCAATCTTGGAACACTTGTTTGCATTAACAATATTTTCAAAAGGCTGGTTTTGTCTGTGTCATTAAAGTTACATTTCATAATCACTACATGTACAAGCTCGTTCCAAGTCATGATTGAATTTATCTTAAAGAATCCAGGAAATATGTGTTTCTAACATACTAATCATCATTTAAATATGCAAAATTTGCAAATGGACTTTATGCAGTTTGCAAAAAAACCCAAATTACTACAGGTTTTTTCGTTATTTTTTTGTGCATTAACAAAAATAACAGGAACATACGATAAATGACGCTAACCAATTATTTTCGATGATTGATCGGTTGTAATGGACCAATCATAAATTATTAGATTTTAACCAATTCCCAACACTAATTTCAGTGTACCTGGTCGAGGGGACGACAGCTGTCAGTGTTATCTGACAGTCACTGCTGTGCCATCGCTCAAACGATGTCAGGAATGTCGGCTACTCAAGAAAGGCAAGATATATTATGTGACTCTTTGTAATAATATCATCATGATTATAGCATGTCTTTGTAACTGTTGTAGTTTTTGTTTCGCGATTAATAATACTGTATTTAAGGAAGTGTCATGAAAGAAAGTTGTCAGACCTCTTGATATTTGTTAGACATCTGCTCTAATATATAATAATGTGACAGTTTGAATGTCTTGTGGTTGATAGCTTCAGTAATAGTTTATCGTAGGGGGTGCAAGGATGTAAACATGTGTATTGTTTCAAATAAATATGAAAGTTAAAGGATCTTGTCATATGTCTAATGTAAAAAAATATGGATCTGGGTCTCTTGAGCCCAGTTAATTTTAAAGTCTGAACATATAGCACCCAAAATTGGTATGGATGATGTGAATGTATATGAAATGTCATGGAAAACTTTAAGGAACCCAGAGCCCCCCTCAATTTCAACTCTGCAAATGTTGGACCCAGGATTGATATAGATTAAGTGAACAATATCATGAATACTGCGGTATGCAAAACTCTTAAATGTATGCTGTGTATATGTACATGTATAGGATAGCAATTGTATTATGTTTGGTGCTTTTCTTTCCTTCTTGTTGCTGTTTTATTATTTCTGTTACACAATACATCACAGCCAGGTTTTTTTTAGCAGTTATTAGCAGCGTTTAAAATTCCCGCCTGCCCGACCGTCCAGAATGGTATATTTTCATCTCGGACGGTCAAATTTCAAAAGTAGCCTGTCCGGTGGCCTGGTAGATATTTTTACCCCTGACAATAAATATTTCATAACATCAGACAGGTTCTCTTGTTGTCAGTTTAAGGCGTTTAAGGTATTATGATAATTATGTTAAACTACTTACGATTGGACAGTTCATGTTACGATAACCAATCACAACACATGTACTTTCAGTTTATTGTTGAAAACCGGAAAGTTACCAGGCCGGCTGTCTGGCTTGGAATGTTGGGAGTTTTAAACACTGTTATTAGTGTTATTGTTATGTATGGAACCCTTGACTTTAGTTATTGAACTGCCATGGAATAACCCATACACTGAAAATTCTATGAATAAGATTAAATGTTTGAGCCATCAGAGATTTATCTAGACCTACCCAAAGGCAGATAGCTTAAGTTAGAAGCCAGGGTTGGAATTGGCATAGATATTACAGAGTTCAAATTCAAAGACTATTTTAATGATTCTTGGTGTTTGAAATATTTCAGAGTCCTCAGGTAACCCTGGAACCTGTCTCCAGCACAGCTTCTGTCTTCATACAAAGTATGAACTTGCACCTCCGTTCCCTGCCTTCTCACCACGAGTGCAACTTAAAATAGATGGCATCGCCATCCTCAACACAGGTGACTCCATAGTTGCCCTACAGGTGGATGCAACTCACTCACCAAGTAGCTTTAATCAAACAGACGATACCCTTCTAGGGGAAACAACCTCAAACACTGAACATATGCAAAGTGACTTACATGACAACTCCTATATTGGTGCTGAACTGTCTATTTTAGAAACTCGGACATCTATTTTTACCATAGAGGATAGCAACAGCCCACTGTGTCATGACCATTCAGGAGGTATAGGCAGAGTCAACGAATTTCTGGAGGGTATGCAGGAAATTACTGCTGATGACGATGAGGAAAATGTGCATTCTCCTGAACTGGAGGGTTCTGATCTCGAGTGTTCTGAGTGCAAGTCAACAAAAAACTGTGAACATTGTCGCCACATCCCCAAGGAAACCCGTCATGGACCAAGTTACCGTCCCGCTCTTAAAGCTAAAAATTGTACTGGTGAGAGCAACAGTCAACATTCTGATTGTATGAAACCCATGGGGGCATGTGGCAAGCTGACCTGTCCTGTGGGATCTCCTGGGAACCAGTGCTCCCACTCCTATAGTCCATTTACTGATACTAAGTGCCACAGTCCCGAGCAGCCAATGAGAGCTGGCTGCAGCAGTGCCAACCTGCATGACTTGGACGATATTGTAAATAATTGCTCAACATCCAAGTTGTCTTCCCAACGATCGTTTTTCTCGCCAAGCAATAGCGGAGCAAGCACGACAGGCTCATCCAAGAGTTCTGAAAGTGTGGTTGTACATACAAATCATTCTCGGACTGTTACATTCTCACTTCGAAAAGTACGGGTACACGACTGAAGACTCGTCCGAGTCACCATTGCCAGTTGAAGGTACAGTGTCTATTTTCTCCTATGATTTAGCTGAGCTTTGAAAACTCTTTGATGGAGACCACTATTAGGTCAAGGACACCAGGGATAGAAATACTTTTTTTTCTAAGTGTGCCTTAGGGCACCAGACAAATATTTTAGGTGTGCCTTTCTGAAATCGATTATGTCCACATGTTTTTTAGAATAAATGACAATGATGATGATCATTTGAAATTTATTGTTAAATAAAGAAATGGGTTTATGAGCATTCAAATATGTATGGTATTATTCAATTTGGGAAAAAATAACTGTTTTGGGGATTAAATGACTAAATGTGAGTTATGTCTCTGAAAAATCAGGCGTGTCAAAAGGGCACCGAGAACATTTTTTAGCCGTGCCATTTCAATATTTACCGTGCCATGGCACACTAATATATAGGGTATTTCGAACCCTGGACACTATTACTATCATTGTACCCAGCCGCAATGTGGAACGGGGGACTATGTATTCAGCAGCGTCTGTCCGTACGTACGTCCCAATTCTTGTTAACACAGTATCTAATGAACTGTTTTACCCAATGTCTTCAAATTTGATGACAGCTTACATTGGGGGATTATTCAGACACCAGTCGATTTGGGTGACCTTGACTTTATTTTCAAGGTCACCATGACACTTTGACCACTTTTCAAACTCTTGTTAACGTAATATCTCATGCACTGTTGTACCCAATGTCTTCAAATTTACTGACAGCCTACTGGGGGATTACGCAGACACCAGTTGATTTGGGTGACCTTGACCTTATTTTCAAGGTCACCATGACATTTTGACCACTTTTCAAACTGTTGTTAACACGATATCTCATGCACTGTTGTATCCAATGTCTTCAAATTTGGTGACAGTCTACATAGGGGAATTATGCAGACACCAGTGAATTTGGGTGACCTTGATGTTATCTTTAAGGTCGCTATCATACTTTGACCACTTTTCAAAAATAAATAAACAGGATATCTCATAAAACATTGCACCCAATTTTATCCTCCAAGCTGAAGAATATATTGCCATTTCTTATTAATACAAATTTGATGTCGGGAATTAACGTAATGGGTATCAGGGTAGGGTAATAGGGGGTGGGGTACCTGGGTAGAAAATTTGGACCCGTCCCAGCCCTAGTACACACTGATACTGACAGTGGATGTGTGCATCTGCATCTATACATTCAAATCTACTTTATTCCCGAAATATCTTCAGATTTAAGAGAAGATTCTGGGAAGTATCCATGGCTAAAAACTACATCACACAAATGGTAATCTTGCATGTGACCAAAAGATAAACACTAGTAAATATGTTACATTTCGTTCTGCTTTAACGGTGGGGGACATTGCCATGTTAGTGGTAAACACTTGTATTAGGGTTATCGTGTTCATCATAAGACATTCTTATTATTGCGTTAAAGTTAACAAGCAAACCTGATACCTACTTGTCTTAACAATAGAACATTGGTCAAAGGTCTAATTCATTGTGAAATGCACAGTTTTGATGGTATTAATGTCTTATGTTTTATGCACTTTTAATTTTTTTAGACCTATTCCGGAGCCATTTTAAACGTCTTAAAATCAAAGTTTATTGACTATTGAGTACTATCAACATTATTAACACCTCCAACATGCTCACGTTCACACTTACTTTATAGAAATTATGTACAGGGGTAGACAATGAATTTGAATTCATTCGTGCCATTGGGCAGTCATAAACATGGTAAAGATGTTTAGGTGTGAAATAGGAATTTGCCAACATGAAGAATACTTTAGATTCATCTTCAGTGTGTTCAAACTTGATGGATGTCATCAATACTCAATACCATTTAGAAAGTAGTCAAATGTATCGCAACTGTGAGTGGCATTTAGAAGCTGGTATGATGAACAGGAACGATATTTTATTGCAAATGATGCGACATATGGGTGTAGATGCTAACACCATTGGTCACACCCTTTGCAATAAAGTAGTTGTCTGTTCATTAAAAATGACATGTTATATTTGGGATTACACTTTCTGAGGTGGCTGAGTCTGTTGGATGGCTGACTTTGTGTGCTCAAGATTAGGTGCCTGACCCGGATGGGACTCAACCTAACAAAAGAACTTGTAATCCCAAATATAGCCTATGTAACATATGTTTATGGATTTCTTTTCAAATGGGCTAGATAATACAAGTAATAAGTGGATGAAGTTTAGAGTAACTTAGAAAGTTTGACCCTTTTTTTCATTGAGACGAAAATTTAATCAATTTCAGATATCCCTTGTCATATCATGTTATGTTAATGTATTTATATAATTATAGTGCATTTTGTGGGTTTATTTTAGGATGACTGAATGCTTGTTTTTATGTTTGTTTGCTTCTTTGTTGTTCAACACCCGACTCGGCAATATTCAGGCTATGTGGTGGTGGTCTGTAAATCACTGAGACAATCCAGTGATCAACAGCATGAGTATCGGTCAACACACTTGTTACATGATCACATGTGTCAACCAAGTCAGCGAGCCACTAGTCACCCCTTACGACAAGCATGGGTTGTTTTTATGTACCTTATCTACTTCATTTACTCAATTTACCATGTGCATAATATATATGATCTTTTATGCATCATCATGATTATTGTGTTTCAGATGACTACGACCTGGCGTACCGCAGTGTGCTTCCTGTGGAAGTGCTGTGGTGTGACAGCAAGCAGCTCTCTATCATCAGGTCCATGATGCCGGAGAACCCTGCGGTAAGTTGATGACCAGCCTCTGAAACTGTTACGATATTTATCATTAGTATCTAGTTGTTGTTTAATCACTTAGAGGACTGCCTCCGTGGTGTAGTGATTAGAGCGTCCGCCCGGAGAGTGGAAGGTCGCGGGTTCGATCCCCAGCCGCGACTTACCAAAAGACGTTAAAATATGGTACTTGTTGGTCCCTGCCTGGCTCTCGGCATAAATGGGTACAACAAGGACTGGTCGGCTCTGTGTCAGTATAATGTGTCTGAGTGGGTTTTTCATGCTAAACTACAACATGGTGAGCTAGTGAGCTAGCACTATATAACTAGCTAAAGTCTGGGCTAGTACAAGCTTCCACACATACACATACACATGCATGTCGTCATATGAGCAAAATATTCTTAAGTACGACGTTAAACCCTATTTCACCTCATTGAACACTTAGAAACTTTTTGAACACAGAACAGTGTACCTTTTTGTGTGTGAAATGTTGTGCTATGGTGCATCATATAATTTACTATTCAGAATAAGTTAAACAACACTGACAATGACAACACAGTTTTGCAATGCCCACCAGCAGAGACAGATGAAATATAGTCATATGAAAAAAGAAGATGGGGTAACCTAGTGTCTAAAGCGTTTGCTTGTCATGCTGAAGAGCCAGATTCGATTCCTCACATTAGTACAACTACAATGTGTGAAGCCCATTTCTGGAGTCGTTGTGATATTACTGGAATATTGCTAAGGTGGCATAAAAATAAACTCACTCACTCATATGAAAAATGTCAGGTGTTATATGATTTCATTTGGTAGTACATAACTTGTGACCTCTTGGAAGGGAAAACAGAAAAATGTGACTGTCATTTTTTGACGTGGCATGAAGATCTACTTTGTATTTACCACTACTTGAAAAAGGACATAGCATTTGTAGGAATGTTTGATGTTTTCATCCTGCAAGGTGAGATTCACCATGAGAATACCTGTGAAGATCCGGGTTAGAATTAATCTTCAGAAACCCATGCTTGTCGTAAGAGGCGACTAACGGGATCAGGTTGTCAGGCTCACTGGCTTGGTGGACACATGTCATCGGTTCCCAATTGCGCAGATCGATGCTCTTGCTGTTACTTGCTGGGTGATCAGGCTCGCTGACTTGGTTGATACATGTCATTGTATCCCAATTGTGTAGATCGATGCTCATGCTGTTGATCACTGGATTGTCTGGTCCAGAGTGCAGCGTAAAACTAAACTCACTCACTCATTCACCATGAGAAATTGACCGGTGAAAGACGGGTTAGAATGAACCTTCAGTAACCCATGCCTGTCGTAAGAGACGACTAATGGGATCAGGTTGTCAGGCTCGCTGGCTTGGTGGACACATGTCATCGGTTCCCAATTGCGCAAATCGATGCTCTTGCTGTTGATCACTGGATTGTCTGGTCCAGACTTGATTATTACAGACCGCCGCCATAAAGCTGGAATATTGCTGAGTGTGGGGTAAAACTCAACTCACTCACTCACCATGAGAAATTAGGTGACAAGTAGATACACAGTACTTGGAACTTTCAAACAAGTTATTCTTGGTTTATTTGCAAAGTTTATTGTTCACTATTGTCCCTAAAATGTTGACAAGTTCCTGGTTACAAAGACAGAATTCATGAAAAACAACTCCCATGAAAACTTTAATTACTTTTTGGTATAGATCCATATCCCATTGTCATGATTGTGGAGCAGGACTGACAATATTGCTATCAAGATGAAATACAGCAAGAGGGAAGCAGTGTTATAGAGGTTGTTATCCATGAGCTGTGTCCACTTGGTCGTTTGTCAGCTTCTAAGAAATGAGTGTCAAACAGTTCAAGCTCCTTGTTATTTTGCCGTTATAAAGGTAGCGTGTTGCTTGAAATCCTGTTGGTTGAAAACAACATGTGAGTCTCTATATTAGGATTATTTTTCCTTATGCTGACTCATGCTCTTTTTGCTTGTCTTCTTCTTCTTGCGAACATAGTGGAACACTTGTATCTCCCTAATTGAAGCTCCCTTCAATTTAAAATCACTAATTAGTATTCACCACGAGTTACCTCCTTTCCACAAGCGCGGGAACGAGGGCGCCACCTCTACCCATGTGCCTCACTCTCTCCTTCTTCGCCCAGTGAGCTGGACGTGAGAGCGCCTGTGTCTCCCGACACACTATATCCTTTGAATTATATTTAGTTAGTTACCTCGTATAGACATCTATAGAGGTTTAGCTAGTATCCTTCAACGATTATATATTGATATTTAGTCGTTTTTCTACAGTTTAGTCACGGGGACGCGTGTTTGTTTCAGTGGATTACGTTGATGAAAATTCTGTACTATTGCAGATTACGTTTTTATGCTGCTGCTGATCCGCCTTTAATATGATGTACGGCGCCATGTTTATTATATTCACATTGCAGTTCGCGGTACTAATTTATCCAATTCTACCTTTTTATTAATATTTACTTTGCGTTTGGCACGCACAGCAGATAGGTCGCTGATATGCAGAGTCTAGTATGACTGATACACGGAACCCTCGCCAGTCTACTGCTGTTGGCCGACTCCCCTCCGTGTGGTGTTCGCTAGAGTGGTGGAGAGGTGTGGGGCGTAGTCCGCCATCTCAAGAAGCATCCTGCTTCCCCAGACATCCCATCGTCGCAGCAGAAGACTAGAGGGTTTTCTACTACATCTCAACAACCGAGACCGTTCCCATCGAAGTTTTGGGCCTGTATGATGATCAGCCGGTCATCATACGGATGTACATCAAAGATTGACCGATGTCGGCACAGATCAGCATGCAGCCTGATGTACCAACGCCAGATATCGCGATGATCGTCCTGAGGGTCCCATCATTACCAACACTCAACGCAGGGCGTCGCACACCCAGGGCAGCGTCGACCTCTGAGGGAAAATCAGCGAAGTCTACTAGGACTTTCTCAACCGAGATTGTTCCAGCCGATGACCTGGACCTCTACGATGATCAGCTGATCATCATCCCGGCGTCGCCACAAGAAACGACCGGTGACAGCTACAACGACATCAGCAGAGATCACCATGCAGCCTGATGCCTCTACACTGATGTCGGACGATTTTCGGTGGACCCCTCCATTAACACCGCAGATAAAGCACCGGCGACCTCGTCGCAGACCATCCCAGAAGACATGATCGACAAATTATGAACATCATGGAGGACCAATATCTGCGGTAGCAGGGTCCGAACCCAGCGAAGGCTCCAACGTGAACAGCACCCCAGAGGCACCCCGTCAGCGTAGCAGCCAGGGCGATGTCACCTTCGCGAAGGAAGTCACGGACCACCTTGACGAAGGACCTAGATGTACAGCCTTCGCGAAGGCGGAAAGAACCTAGATGTACAGCCTTCGCGAGCGAAGGACTTCGCGAAGGCAGGATAGATCATCACCTTATGCGGTTTCATCCCTAGATGTGGACTCGGACCATCAGACATCACGGAAGCCTTCGCGAAGGTCATATCGTCGTTCCCCGGACCGGGCGCAGAGGAAGCTTCGCGAAGGCATCTTGAGAGACACCTGAATCAGATCATCATCATCTAGAAGGACATCGAGGGACTATACAAGAGCTTGGCGAAACTATCAACGTTCCCCTCACAAGTCTCCGAAGATCAACCCATAGACAAGTTGATCATCGATATCAAGTATAAGAACTACAATCGTATATTGGTTCTGTTGAATCCATGGCCGAGGCGTATGTTAAGCTGGCCTAAATAGATCTAGAGCGATCAATTAGACACTTATCACCAGACTTAAGTAACCGACTTCTGAATATGATAAGATGATCCATGCGGCCCTACTTAGGCAAGCGCCGCCCGATCCCACATCCTGTTAAACACAGAGGCTGTTCACGAAGAAGCAAGCTCATATATATATTTATATATATATATATATACTAATCGGGCTTTGATTCGACGACACCTTCAGCGATGGTCGCGAAGGCTAAGTAACCAAGTCTACTTCACCCAGAAGATCTAGAAGGGATACTTCGAGAACTTCTCGAAGTCTCCGGCGTTCACCGAGGAAGTCTCCTCCAAGGGTGCCATATACTAGCCACTTTCGTCATATATAGCTACTAGTCAGTCCGTTCAAGGCGTCGCATAAGTTGATTATCAACTGTATGCCAGATGCCGCCTATAAGCCTCTGCGAAGATAATTGCTCAGGCTATTTACAACACAGAACGCCGCTGTATTATTAGTCAACGACATTTCATAGATCTTCACAGAAATCAACTATTCCGTATAAATTGCTAATATACAATCCCGGACGACGATCACGATTATCTACATGCGTGACCATTACGCATATCTGCAGACAATTCAATATCGAAATTGAACAGCAGCCTTGTTACAGCGAGTATAACTCTTAATCGTCAAAGTTTCTGAGAAGAAATATGTACAACAAGTTCAACGTTAATTCTACAATTATGGCGATACATTCATGTATACAGTCTACAAGCTCACAACTTGCAAGTTGTTTATACCCTTATATATAAGGAAGTCGGATTATATTCAAAACTGAAATTACTTTCACGACAACCAGGAAAATAACCTACCCAGCATAAAATTACAGAGCGAGATATATTTGGCGGAGGTTTCAGCGGTTACCATTAACCCTCAAACACGTGGTCACTTTCGGATAACCGAGAAGCTACGGGTGAAGACCGGCGTTTATGCTAATATCAACGGCGACAAGAATTTATTCAAGGTGGGTTTTTCCGCTACACCGGTGACATCACAGCGGGTATTATACAGAATCAAAATGCCTTGTTCTGATTGGACCGCGAGGGACAACGCCCTACACAGAGGTCGATCTCTATTCACAGTTCAAGACTTACGTCACAAAGTGACAACTATATATCAGTGAGCGAGCAAGCCTCATTACAGTCCAGTTAACCTGAACATTCATGATTAGACTGCCTTTCTTCAAGTTAGAGACCTCCCCTGTCAAGTTAAGGCGAGGGATCGGCAGTCAGGCGATTTTACATAAAGTTCAACGAGGACAGACACACCTGGTTGTGCACCTACATCGTCAAAGGACTTATGGCGAATTACCTAGACGAAGATACAAGTGGATCTAAATCCACAGCGTTTCAGACTACAGCTGAATTTCATCAAGCGACTAACACAACTAGATGGTTAGTAAACCTACTAAACTTCTGTTTGGAGAATAAAGCGGAAATTTCAGCCCAACCTGGGGATATGAATATAGTGCTCCAACACCTCACAAGTGAGGTTTATGAACACGCCTGGATGACATACTTGGACCCCATGATACGATGATTCTATCAAGATGGCCAGCAAGAGCACTGTAAATTTATCTCCACCAAACCAAACAGGAGGAAAAATGCAACAGATTATTTCCTCTATCATCAACTTCACGCAGAGTGAAGTCTCATGTACTATATCTCCATTTGGATCAGAACTGTCATACTACGTGCATATGCGGATGGACCTATTCCGACCCTCCATGAGCTTAATACTCATGATATTATAAGCTAACTTCTACAATTGTTCTACACAAATGTGATTGAAATAATGGAGGGTTTATTTCTGGAAATCGATATGGTGGTTGCAAACCATTATCTGAGAGATATCACCACCGAGGGCGTCTCAGGTATACACCAATTCGATCCCATGGTCCTCGCACAACAGCTGACAGTTCCTCGGAGAAGATAAGTCAATCTAACAGATTTTTACTTATCTTATAACAATACTAAATAGCTTCATGCTATATATAATTTACTTAAGTTCCTTTTATCATCACAGTACTATGATTATTACATCATACAATATATAAGTTAACAACTCTACAGAGTTTGTTATTATATATATTTACCTTAAGTTATTCATATCTTAAGAGTAATACTATGGTTACATGATAAATGCATTAGCTAACAAACTCTACAGAGTTTTTGGCTATTTTATACATAGCTTAAGTTAATTAAGCTAACAAACTCTACGGAGTTTTACTATTATATAGGTAACTTAAGCTAATTATACCTTAAGCATAGTACTATACTCATATTATTAAAATATATTGGCTAACAAACTCTAAGGAGTTTTGCTATTATATAGGTAGCTTAAGCTTATTCATATCTTAAGCTTAGTACTATGTTTATATCATATAAGTAGATTAGCTAACAAACTCTAAAGAGTTTTTTGCTATTTGGCTTAAGTATCATCATATTTCTAAGCAATATGGTTATATTATAACATGTATTAGCTAACAAACTCTACAGAGTTTTAGCTATTATATATGTAACTTAAGCTTATTCATATCTTAAAGCAGTACTATGTTTATATCATATAGGTATATTAGCTATCAAAACTCTAAAAGAGGTTTTTATTATTATATATTTAAGCTTAAGTTTCATCATATTTTAAGCTTTATGGTTACATTATAACATGTATTAGCTAACAAACTCTACGGAGTTCTTGCTATTATATATGTAGCTTAAGTTTTCCTTCATAAGCTCAATACTAGGTTTATATCATAGCTAACAAACTCTAAAGGGTTGTTTTCGCTATTATACAATTAGCTTAAGTTTTCATCATATCTTAAGCAGTATGTTTACATTATAAAGGTATTAGCTAACAAAACCCGACGATGGTTTTGTTATTATATATATATAGCTTAAGTTTCATCATAACTTAAGCTCAGTACTATGTTTTTAACATAAAAAGTATATTAGTTAATAAACTCTAAGGAGTTTATTTTGCTATATACATTTAGCTTAAGTCTAATCTTATCTTAAGCTTAGTACTATGGTTACACTATAAACATATTAGCTAATAAACTCTACAGAGTTTTTGGCTATTATATATGTAGCTTAAGTTAATAATATCTTAAGCACAATACTATACTCATATTGTAAAATATATTAGCTAACAAACTCTCACTTTTGCTATTATATATGTAGCTTAAGTTCATTATATCTTAAGCACACTACTATACTCATATTGTAAAATATATTAGCTAACAAACTCTCACGGAGTTTTGCTATTATATATGTAGCTTAAGTTAATTATATCTTAAGCACACTACTATACTCATATTGTAAAAATATATTAGCTAACAAAACCCTACAGAGTTTTGCTATATATATGTAGCTTAAGTTAATTATATCTTAAGCTCAGTACTATACTAATATTATAAATATATATTAGCTAACAAACTCTACAGAGTTTGGCTATTATATAGGTAGCTTAAGTTAATTATAGCTTAAGCACAGTACTATACTCATATTATAAAAATATATTAGCTAACAAACTCTACAGAGTTTTTGCTATTATGTATGTAGCTAAAGCTTATTCATATCTTAAGCTCAGCATTATATCTATATCATATAAGTATATTAACTAACAAACTCTAAAGAGTTTGCTATTATATAATTAGCTTAAGTTTAATCATATCTTAAGCTTAGTACTATGTTATATCTTAAAGTATTTTAGCTAACAAACTCTAAGGAGTTTATACTAGCATATTAACAAGCTTAAGTCTATTAGTCTTAAGCATTGTATTAATGTTATATATACTTTATCATAATAAGTACATGGTAATAACCTTTTATATGGCAGCTGATAAGTTAGCAGCAGGAATTCATCAGTTCAGTGCCTTTATGAAGTTCCCATAGGGTTATTACAATCATCACAGTTCAAATCACTAATTATTAAAAATCCAAAGTATTAGATATTCCCACCTCCGTTCCATTGGGATGCTACAAGCAAAAGAGCATGAGTCAGGATAAGGAAAAATATGTAATTTTGGAGTAAAATTGATATTTTATACTTATCCTGACTCATGAGGTCAGCCCTCCCATCCTCCCCAAATAACACTTTGGATTTCCCTGTAAATTCAAATGTTGGGCTCAGTATATGAGGAGAGAGTGAGGCACATGGGTAGAGGTGGCGCCCTCGTTCACGCGCTTGTGGAAAGGAGGTAACTCGTGGTGAATACTAATTAGTGATTTTAAATTGAAGGGAGCTTCAATTAGGGAGATACAAGTGTTCCACTATGTTCGCAAGAAGAAGAAGACAAGCAAAAAGAGCATGAGTCAGGATAAGTATAAAATATCAATTTTACTCCAAAAATTACATGTTTGTGGAGTTTTATGCGACATTTTATGTCATCTAAGTGACATTAATGTGTATGGTTTGTGTAGGTGACAGTGCTTCAGATGACGTTTGACATCGAGCACTACATGGTGGAGGTGATACACCAGGAGGCAGAGTGGGGCCAGAGATATGTGGCCTTCTGTAACTACGACCTGCAGATACTCGATGTAAGTACTAAAACTAGTGAGATTGGGAGATATATTTCCAACCAACAGTTGGTTAGTATCCTGTGTAATTGACCTGGCATGTATTCTTGTGTAAGGGACAAATTGTCAAACATGGGATCTGAAATGTAATAATGTGTAGTAGTAATGTGAGAGCATACTGTATACCATGACCAGACCATCGATCGTCCAGCCTCTCGTACACTGGCGAGATATGTGTGTAGTAGTAATGTGAGAGCTTACTGTATACCATGACAGACCATCGATGGTCCAGTCTCTCGCACACTGGCGAGATATGTGTGTAGTAGTAATGTGAGAGCTTACTGTATACCATGACAGACCATCGATCGTCCAGTCTCTCATACACTGGCGAGATATGTGTGTAGTAGTAATGTGAGGGCTTACTGTATACCATGACAGACCATCGATCGTCCAGTCTCACATACACTGGCGAGATATGTGTGTAGGAGTAATGTGAGAGCTTACTGTATACCATGACCAGACCATCGATCGTCCAGCCTCTCGTACACTGGCAAGATATTTGTAATGTAGCATGTAGCTGAGCCTCCAGTCTTGCCTACAGTTGCCAGGTGTCCATGTAGAAGTATTTTGCATGTTGCAGGTGTGTCCCGACAGCTTCCGTGTGTTTGGCACAGTTCATGCTCTCATACAGGCCAGAGATCGACTTACCAAACAAAGGTGTGTACTCACTATACTTGGAAGCCATACTACCATATATTCATTGTTGAATCCTATTTTGAACGTGCTGAAGGAAAACTAGTGTCAACACTGTGTAGTCCATTTTCAGTGTTGGTCTACACGTTGTATTCAGAACCTTGTTTATAATTTTGATAATATTTCTATCTTATTTATTGCAACCATCTATTTCATCAATGTTAGCATGATGGTAGAGTATTTTGCTGTGGGGATACAAAATGACATCCTTTCTCATCTAGACAATCAGAGAGTAGTACTTCTTGTTCTACTAGACCTGTCAGCAGCCTTCGATACAATAGACCACAGTATCCTGCTGTCTCGACTTGAGAAGACTGTTGGTATCACCGGACCAGTATTGATGTGGCTTGAGTCATATCTAAAAAACAGAACTCAGTCAGTGAAAGTGGGTGAGGCCGTGTCAGAAGAAAGGTGGTTATCATATGGCGTTCCACAGGGTTCAGTCCTTGGACCACTCTTGTTTACCATCTATATGTTGCCACTAGGTGATGTTTTCCAGAACCACTGCATTGACTTCCAGTGCTTTGCAGATGACACCCAGAGCTGTATCGCCTCCAGGATTGTATCACTTCAGGACAAGATAACGAAGCTGGAAAGATGCATCAGTGACATCAGAACTTGGATGAGAATTAACTTTCTCAAACTAAATGACAACAAAACGGAAGTATTCATTGCTGGGCCAAAGCACTTACAGGAACGTTATGACAGAATTCTCAGTCAATATTGGACCTGTGAATGTGCCTGCCTCTTCCCAAGTGAAGAATCTAGGAGTTGTTTTGACTCCCACATGACCATGAACAAGCAGGTCACCCAAATGTGCCAGTCTTCTCACTATCATCTTCATCAGATTGGTAAACTAAGACGATATCTTTCAGATGAAACCGCCAAAACTCTCACTCAAGCAACAGTCATATCTCGCCTTGACTATGCCAATTCACTTTTGTTTGGGATAACAGCTTCCCTGGTTCATCGACTCCAGGTTATACAAAACACAGCCGCCAGGATAATAACTCGTTGTCCTCGAAGAGACCACATCACCCCAAGTTAAGAGAACTGCATTGGCTACCCGTTGCCAGACGCATAAAATTCAAGGTGCTTACCATTATCTACAAGTGCCTGAAGACCAACACTGCTCCATCTTACTTGTCATCTCTTCTAAACAACCATAGACCAACAAGAACCCTTAAATCACAAGATAAAGATCTGCTTATCACCAGACCATCCAGGACCAAATACGGGGACCGCTGCTTTGAGTGTGCAGCTCCCATGCTATGGAACAACCTTCCTATGTCGCTAAAATCCGCCCCAAGTCTACAAACTTTTCGAAAACATTTAAAGACACATCTATTTGAAATGAAATAGACTGAACTGCACAAGCGCCTGTGAGCAGCCTAGCTGGAACTCGGCGCTATAGAAGTAGATTATTATTATTATTATTATTATTACATAGAATTGTGCTGTGGGGATACATAGAATTATGCTGTAGGGATACATAGAATTATGCTGATAAAAGTTCACGAAGACCATGGTGACATTGTGGTGTTGTGATTAAAGAGTTGATGCTTGTGTTTTTCAGCAAAGGAGCTGTGAAGTCATATCAAACCAGCTTTACATTTGAGTGGAATCTGCGCACAGGTAGGTTGATTTCTATCTATTGATTGTGAGTTTAAGATTCTAAGAAAGAGGGTTTATAGGTGTGGACCAGGCATGAAATACACTAATTCAGTTCCTACACCCTGACACCCTGACACCCTCCCCATCCCCCACCCTTGAATGTCCAATAAACAAAAGGTCACCCTGACAGATCAGTTGATATCTGAAAAACTACACAATAAGGATGTTGTCATTGCCACAAGAACATTACAAAGCAAGTTCTGTCCATGACCCTCATGGGTGCTTGGACTTGTAAGACTGATGTGGTAAAGTAGTTGTGTCATGATCGTACTTTCTGGACATTGTTAACACTCTTCTGTGCTTGTTTCAGGGAACTACTCAACTCTACATATAGATGAACTGACAGAGATGAATGAACAGATCATGAGAGGGTAAGAACACCATCATACGTGTCATTACATGAAGCAGTTCACAATATCCTTGTACCCGGTAAAATGTAGTGGAAGACATAGGAACAGGGGTGGATCCAGAGGGGTGTGTGGGGGTGCGCACCCCCCTTTTCTCCGAAAATGATGTCCCTGAGGAGCATTTCCCCCTAACCTTTGGACTTCATGATATAAGTGCGCATTCCCAACTCCCTCCCCCTCCAAAATCCTGGATCCACCCCTGAGGAACCATCTCTCAGTAGAAATGTGGACTTGGTCATTGTACCCAAATGTGTAGATTGAAGCTCATGGTGTTGATCTCTGGATTGTCTGGCCCAGACTCAATTATTTGCAGACCTCCATATAGCTGGAATATTGCTGATTGAGGCATTAAACAACCAACCAACAAACAAACAAGCAGTGGAAATGTTGGCTTCTGTCAGGTACTAACTTTGTAATATCACTGAGTGAGGTTTGGAAAGTGTGCAGTTTAAATTCGCTTCAAGGCCAGACCAATTTTATTTCTTGTTTTGCGGATTTTTGTCCACAGAAAACCTAAAGGCAGGAGGGAAAAAAATAAAAATCACTAGTCAAAATAATTTTTCTTTTAAATACTAAAAGTATTTTATTTTTGGAAATTTATGAAGTTTATATGGGGCAAAAAACAATCAAAAAATTATTTTTTGGGGAAGTTGACATTTTTGGCCAATAAAAACATGAGGATTTATTTTTTGAGGGGGGGAAATTAATTTATTTTTTTACGTATTCTTGAAAAAATATGATCGGCGGATCCGTAAAACAAGAAATATAATTGGTCTGGCCTAAGCATTATAAAAGCACAACCTGTGATGTGGTTTGTGGCTGATCAGTAGTGTGTGGCTGATAGTAAACTTCTCCTCCAGGAAAGAGTGGAAGCCAGGAAGCAAGGAGTGTGGCCAGCTGAGGAGGAAGAGCTACTGCCCTCAGTCGTTCTACAGGAGTGTACATATCCTCTCCAACGAAGCTGTCTTCAAAGGTAACAGTAGTGTCTCAATTATCATCATTCTTCGTATGTCGGGACACATTTTTGACAATGAGGATGACTGAGAAAAAACTGGTGTGTACTGTTTATTTTTGGGTTTGGCTGATACAGGGATGAGAATTTTCCGCGGAATTCCAGGAATTTCCTAAGGCTAAGGGTAATTTTGTGAATCGCCTAAATCCGATGGATGCTAAACCCCCGGCTAGTTTTCAGAGTTTTTCTCAAAATTTCATCCTCATCCCTGCTGATATTATGTTGAAGATTTCGGTTCAGGTCTCTGCGACTTGGCTTGGTTGACACATGGCATTGTATCCCAGTTGGGTAGATCGATGCTCATGATGTTGATCACTGGATTGTCTGGTCCAGACTTGATTATTTACAGACTGCCGCCACATTGCTGGAATATAGCTGAGTGTGGCGCTAAATAACAAACAAACAAATGTAAAGACATATTGTTATAGAGAGAAATACTATCACAACGACATTATTTTGATACGAGGGGTATTGTGACCTGAGTTATCTTACCCTGAGTCATGTATCTTTGCTGCTACTGGATCTGCTGAATGTGGGTTTAAATTTCTGCAAACATGATCCTTGGTCTGCAGGCACTATAAACAATTATTTAGCTGTTTCAAATTGGTTATCCTCAGTCACCTCATGCTTTTGTCCAGGTCAAGCTGACATGCCTTGTTATAACTGAAATACTGTTCAGATTTCTAAACTGAACTTTTAATATGACACCCACATGTGGACTCCCATATTCTTTTTCATAGAGATCGTCCTTGGGGTACATATATGCATTTTCTGCGGCTGAAAATGTCATGTGACAGTTGTATCAATGTTTTAATAAAAATATTGTACAATAAATAAAATTCCTCCCTGCTACGCATAGGCCCGTATCATCATTCCTTCTGCTGTCACTCTAGCGTTCACACGTATTTACCCAAGAGTTACTAGCTGATTTACTTCCTGTAGAAAAATGTCTGAGATTTCAACTACTGTATGTATGGTCTTTATTCGTTTTGAGAAACGTTTTATGGACTTTGCAGTCTGTTATTTCTCATTTATGTGACTTTGTATTAAACTTTTACGCTAGCTTTCCCGTGGTTTACGCACGTGTTGCTATTCCATGGCGGGAAGTTTAGCGTGCCACGTGGTTGAAATATTGCGTTATTAACCAAGTATTTCATGTCGTGTTGTCGCTTTCACGTAATTTTCGATGTTTTGTACGTGTATATTTATGCTGTTGGGTTACGCCGTTAGCTACATGTTTGCGTGTTGGCTTTCAGGCGTTTACGGGGTGTGCTGCCTGCGGGCAAAATATCCCCCGTTCAGATAAGCATGACAAATGCTTATGCTGCCTAGAGAAGGCAGGGCATAACCCTGACATCTTTGAGTTGTGCATGGGCTTCTCCCCCTGGGCCCAGAAGCGATGGGCGGCTGACTTCCTTTTTTATAAGGAATTGCGTGAGGCGGGAGGGGACTTGACCCAGGAGGTTCCCCCGTCCAAGGCCAAAAAGTCTAAGCAAACTAAATCTAAGTCTACTTCACATAGGTCGCACTCTCCGTCTCCATCCAGTGGTTTTGATATGTCACTTATCACACAATTGTTTAAGCAGCATATGGACTCCGTGAAGTCCCTCGTTCACGAGACGGTTGGAGGTCTCCGAAAGGAGTTCCTCGCCCACTCTGATCAGGGGACCGAGAGTCCGGGCGTGGGATCGCCGAGCTCGTCTCGATCCCTTGGCCTGGAGGCGTCTGTCGATCCTTCGCCTTTGGCTGCCCCGGAGGGGGATGGTTGGCTCCCAGTCCCTCTCTCGGTGTTAGCGCAGGGTCCATTGAGGATTCCTGGGGTTCTGGTCCCTGCGCCACCCCGCCCCATGAGAGTGGAGGAGCGGGTTCTGCCCGGCCTTCCCACCGTGTCTCGGGACCGGGGTTCAAGTGTTGTGTCGGTGGCCGGAGCTGAGAGTTCCTTCGGCTCTTCCCTTCCCGCGGCGTCTTTGGCTCGGCCTCCCACCGGGTCGGGGTTCGGCTCCTCTTCACGTGGAGATCCGAATTCTGACTCGGGCTCGGGTGCTCGAGTCTATGGAGGTTGGGGAGGTCGAGGAGTTGGAGGGTACTTTCCGTTTTTCGTTGGCTCTCCGGGAGGTTAGGCAACATATTGCCGAGTATATTCCCCAAGCCGCGCGGACTCGACTGAGTTCCGTCTGCCGGGTGAGGCATTTGCCCCTAGGCAGCCCTCTCAGACACAGCTCTGTATCTTGCCTTCCCTGGTGCAGGACGTGATGGATCCCCCTCCTGGATGGTTCTCGTCTCCGGTTCGATCTACCTGAACTCGTTAAGAGATATCAGCTGGGGGATGATTCTCTGTTCTTTGTGCCGGTGGTTGACAAGTGTGTGTTTACTTTGGTCGCCCTTGGAGGCTCGGCTTCCTCAGGTGCAGCCCCGGCTGCCAAGCAAGGGCGGTTAGTACCACCGTTTGCCCTAGCAGGCGCCTCCCTGCAGCAGGTATACCGGACTTACGAGGAAGTCTACCGGAATGCCATGCAGCAGGTGCGGGTCGTGGTCCACGAGGCGTACCTTTCCACGATACAAAGGTTGGCTCTGGAGGCGGAAGGGAGCACTGGTGACGTTTCCCCGAATGTTGTTCTTCTCCGCCAACTATCCGAAGTACAGGCCCACCTGACGCGAGACTCTTTACGGTCTGCCGCGTCCCCGGTGATGTGCACAGTCTTGGGGATGCGCAAGCTGTGGCTGTCTACATCCCGTTATTCAGCAGCAACACAGCAGACCTTGCTGGCCCTTACGTTTCGGCTGGGAGCGACGTTTTTTTCCGGGGGCACAGCAGGTCATTGGGGAGGCTGCTGCAGCAGCTACCTCCTCCAAGGACTCTAGGGCTTTGTTGGAGCAACCACGGGCTTCTCGCTCCCGTAGCAGGTTCTTCCTCCGGGGGCGCAGCCTATGCCTGAGTCTGCCGGATGGCTTCGGCCGCTGGGTAGAGGTAGGAGGAGGAGCCGTCCCGCCAAAGGTAAAAGCAAGGAGCAGGCCTCTTCATCTGGTTCCCAGCCCTCTTTTCGCGGTCGCGGGTGGTCTGCTCTGACCTCCCGTTAAACCGTGGGTCTGTCGCCGTGGGTCCTTCCCAGCCAGTTCATCTGCAGGGGACCACTCACGCACTCTTACGACACATCCCAGTGGGAGGCCGCCTCATTCTATTCCTACTGGAGTGGGAGAAGGCTACCAGCAACACTTGGGTGCTATCCACCGTCACTGTCGGCCATCTACCACTGTGGAAGCGAGGCCCGCCAGAGTTTACCGGCATAAGGCGCACTCCGGTGCCGTCCTGTCCGGTCAAGGCGGGTATACTGCGTGACGAAGTTCAGGCATTGCTGGACAAGTCCGCAATAGAGCACATACCACAGGGCGAGGAACAGGCGGGATTTTATTCCACGTACTTCCTCGTTCCGAAGACGTACGGCGGGTTCCGTCCCATTCTCAACCTCAAGGGGTTGAATCACATGTTAGAGGTTCCATCCCTCAAGATGGCTTACGTCGATCGATCTAAAGGATGAGTATCTACATGTGCCAATTCATCCACAGTTCGAAGCAGTACCTCCAGTTCTCTTACGACGGGATGTGTTACCAATTCACGATGCTCCCCTTTGGCATATCCACTGCCCCCAGGGTGTTCACCAAGCTCATTTTAGTGCCGGCTACCCTCGCAAGGTCGCAAGCAAGGCCTTGTTACCCTTACCTGGACGACTGGTTGCTCAGCGCTCTAACTCAGCCAGCGAGCCTAGATTCTACCCACACGGTGATAGACATTCTAGTTCGACTGGGGTGGATCATAAACCTCAAGAAATCCGACCTGGTACCCACCCAGGACTTGGTTTTGGTTTTTTCCGGGGCATGGTTCACAGGCTGGGGGGATGTTCTGGGCAGTCTGTCGGTGTCCGGACTCTGGTCCGAAGCCAAGGCCCGCTTTCACATCAATGTCTTAGAACTGAGAGCTGTGCAGTTGGTTTTCGAGCACTTCCGGGAGCATGTTCAGGGCCAGGTGGTTCGTCTTCAGTTGGACAACCGTATGGCCATGACGTACATCCTGAAGCAAGGCGGCACGGTGTCCCTAGCGTTCCTTTGGGAGACGTGGGAATTTCTCCTCTGGTGTGACCAGTGCGACTGTCAGGTGCTTCCTGTTTATCTCCCCGGGGCTGGAGAATGTGCGAGCAGACGCTCTCTCTCGCCGGATCCTGGCCCCGCACGAGTGGATGCTCGACCGGCAGATATTTGGAGTTATCTCCCAGTTGTACAGATTGTTCCAGGTGGATCTGTTTACGTCCGGCGGGACGAATCAGATACCCGTGTTCTGCTCTCGAATACCGGACCAGAGGGCGTTGGCTTCCGACGCCTTCCTGCTGGATTGGACGTGCAAGGTGCTGTGTGCGTTTCCGCCTCTACCACTCATTCCCCGGGTCCTCTCCTAGCTGTCCACCCACTCAGCTCGGCTACTTGTGCTACTGGCACCGCTATGGCCGTCACAGAGCTGGATTCCGGTAATTCTCAGGTTTCTGGCTCAGCCTCCTGTTCTTTTACCTTTGCGACCGGACATTCTCACTCAGAATGGCGCGCCATACCCCAATCCAAGGAATCAGTGGGTGGCTTGGCCTCTGTCAGGTCTAGCCTTGAAGCAGCCAGAATTCCTGCAGCAGTTGCAGACACAATTCTGGCTTCGAGGCGGGATTCGACAAATGTTCAATATGAGGATAGGTGGTCCTGCTATGCGCGCTGGTGTTCAGATAGGGGGGATTGCAGATCCCTTTTCTGTGGATTTAGTCCGAGTATTGGAGTTTCTGCAAGCTCGTTTGGAAGAAGGCTTGGCGACTTCGACCATTCGTGGCTACTCCACTGCTATTTCAACTTTCCACACCCCTGTTGATGGTGCTCTTCTGGGGCAGCACCCTCTTATGCAGCACTTTTTAGCTGGCGTGGATCGGGTTCGACCTGCTGTTAGGCGAACCAGCCCACCTTGGGATTTGTCAATCATGCTAGATTGGCTGTCCGGTCCTACGTTCTCATGTCTATTGGCTATTTCCATTCAGCTGTTAACATGGAAGGCCGTATTTCTGGTGGCGGTAACATCTGGGCGAAGGGTCGGCGACTTACATGCTATGTCGGCAGACCCGGCGCTGACTGTGTTCCATCCAGATCGTGTCAGTATTCGCCTCCAGGATACTTACCGTCCGAAGATCGATCACGCTTTCCATGTGACAGCTCCTATCGAACTTCCTACTCTTACCCAGCCTTCCACATCGGGGACCTCTGCAACGAGCACTCACCCGTTGGATGTCCATTAGACCCTCAAGGTCTATTTCAAACGAACACAAGGGATCCGTACAGGTACCCATCTGTTCTGCTGTTACGGTGGCAGGAAGGCTGGCTTGTATCGGTCATTTGTAGTGCTTATCAGGCTAAGGGCAAGCCTCCCCCTGAGGGGTTTATGGCTCACTCGGTCAGGGCAGTGGCCACGTCAAGGGCTTTTGCATCGGCACTGCTCATTAAAGAGATATGCTCTGCCGCTATTTGGAGCAGACCTAGCACTTTTATAAGGCACTATCAGCTCGATACACATTCTCGTGATTGCGCGCGTTTGGCCGTTCTGTTATCTCCAGTGGACAGTGTCCTGCCACCCTGACCGAGTGAGTCTTGGTTATCTGGACAGATGATGCTGCTTTCAATTGTGTATAATTGATATATCCACTGTTATCATATGTAACTACTTTCGATTTCTCTCATGAGATTATAGTCAGTTGTGAGTTGGTTTTCCCCCCCTATGGTGCTCTTTAAAAGATTCACGATGTGGGTGGAGTTTTCTACTTTCGCACTGTGTGCGAATTGCTTTGCTTAACCTGTGAGGTCGGGTCTCAGTACTTTCCTCCCTGTCGGTTACCCTCCCATCATGCCTCTCCCGGAAGCTTCAGGACACGTGACAGGTGAGTGTTGTGGCGTCTGTTACTTTCTTCCTAACGATCGCTATTTATGTGTACTTTGACAGAATTCCCTCCTCCCTAGCCTCCAGTCTTTGGGGGTCTGAGTTAATGCATATATGTAGCCCAAGGTCGATCTCTATGAAAAAGAATTAGCTAAACCTGTAGAGGTTTCCAATTCTTTGAAGAGATTCGTCCTTTGGGTAGGGTCACCCACCTCCCCACAATTCTGTTCACTGATTTATTCAGCAGAAGGAATGATGATACGGGCCAAGGTGCTTACCTGGTTGGCTGCGCATGCGTAGCAGGTAGGTAACTCCATGTGGTGGAGGTCGTATAATAGATAAAAAAGATTTTTATTTATTGTACAATATTTTTATTAAAACATTTATACAACTGTCACATGACATTTTCAGCCGCAGAAAATGCATATATGTACCCCAAGGACGATTCTCTTCAAAGAATTTGAAACCTCTACAGGTTTAGCTAAGTTTGTATTGACTTGACATTGTCCCACACCAGCAGTTTCAACAAAAATTGTTTTCATTTCTTTGGCTTCTTGTGAAAATGATTGCTCCCCCAACTCATCAGTCTTTAATTTGGCGCCATGTCCTTGTCACCGATGGACCAAGATGGGCCTACATTTCAGAAAATAGAATGAGTTTTGTTTATTATAACATGTGTTCATATGTCCTTTGAATTTAAGTTTTTCTAAGATTTGACTCACTTATATTTGGGTTTACTTTTTACATGTGTGATCCTAGTCCTTTCACTGCCTACAAATGTTTGGATGTACTTTTCATAACTATATTTCCTTTCCATTTCAGGCCGTTCCCTTCCCATGCTGATAGCTCCATATCAATATACTGCTATTTTACTGTGAGAAGGCTACAAGAATGTGTGTGGAACAAATGATGTTGAGGTTCATGTCATGTACTTACTGGACAGTTTACATGTGTAATAGGTGGAAATAGGATGAGTGTGTCACTTCTATGTGTTGCCATACAAACAGCTAGTACGTCACATGGGGACATGTTCAATAATTCACTTGTGTAGTACAGCTGGTATGTGAAGGAAGTATGATTTGTGGTTTAAGTCTGTATTTTATTGAAACCTTCTGCATGTTGAGTAAAGTCGATTCTGGATGAACAGTTGTGAAAATGAAGCAGTTGACTACAAGCAGGTATTTTAACCGTCTGACTGGTATTAGGTGTCATGGGAACATGTTCATCCCAACACTGCAATGGGTTTCTGTGTCATTGGAGTTGACCGTAGAAAGTAGACTCCAGACCATGCTGACTTTCTTTTTATCATGTGATTTCTGAGTTGTCATCACTACTGGAAACAAGCTTACCCATGACTAAATGTACAAGGGCATTAACATTTCATCGGATCTGGTTTACAGGGCACCATTTCCCAAAGAAATCATAGACCTACTGCTATCATAAGTCTGTTTTGTAGCACAAAATTAAAGTTTTATGATAATTATTAGACTAATGAACCAACTATGGGTCAAGAAGTTCATGAGTCTTCAGAACCCAGGTGAGGAATTAAAGGTTGTAAGAAAATACTGCCTGCTGTTGTAATAGCTGCATTATTATAGTGATGTATGTATGGCGGTGTCTTTAAATGTAAGGAAAGAACCTTCAGTTGAGTTCATGAATGGCTAGTCTGGACTGTGTGAGATGAAGTGTGGCCTTGATGAGATGTGTGTCTCTCCATCAGGGGAAACAGCAAGATTGTTGTGATGATATGTTGGTGGAATAGAACCAGGACTGCAATGGTACAGGACTTTTAAAGGTTTTTTTAGGGGAGGCCTTATATGTTATCACTGTATGGGCTACAAGGCCAGACTTTTTCAGATCTGATGTACAAAACCTGTATTACAATTTACAGTGTCTTTTTAGTTCTGTAGACCAGAAATTAGTAAAATGTTTGAACAAAATTATCAGTGAACTATTTGAAATACTTTAGTAAAACCCTTTTTAAAATGAATCTTAAAATCTTCAAGATACAACGATTTATGATAAACCATGAAAGAAAATAAATAAATATTTTTAGATTTGAAAATTACTATTGTTTTTTCCTGCATCATAAATTCTTGAGCAAAAATAATTGAACCCAAAACACAAGAAATCGGGCTTTAACTGGGTAAGCACTTGCAATGATACAGATTTATGTGATACATATCATGATATCTGACAGTGTGTTGTGCATCACATGACTGCAGCGTAATGGAAACTCTTTGTGAATCTTCCCCTTATATGTGTTTGAAATAGCTAAGTTATCTTCCCAGAAATGCAGGACTAACCATGACTTGATTGAAGGAAATGATACGTACTTGCGCCTGGTGCAACCTTAGGTGCTATCCATGTTCCACCAGACCGAAACAAGCAACACCACCTGCTGCTCAATATGGAATTATATTTAATGTTTGGGTTTTAGAAGAACATTGTAACAAAATTATTATCCCCCGCCGCGCGTTTAGCGCGAAGCGGGGGATATAGTATTAGGCTCCGTCCGTCCGTCCGTCCATACGTACGTACGAATTGGAATATCTTAAGAACCACTGACTAGATTCTTTTCATATTTGGTACCTAGGTTCATCACAGTATAAAAAAAGGTCCAAGTCAGGTTTGGTCACATTGACCTTCATTTCAACGTTTTACCTGCATGTTAAGCTATCTGAAGAACCGTTCAATGGAGTTTCTTCATATTCAATACCAAGCTTTATCTAGGTAAGGCGCAGGGCCCAGTTGATTTTGGTGACCTTCACATAATTTTCAAGGTCATGGCGACACTTTGAAGATTTCAGAATGTAAACCTGCATGTTAAGCTATCTCAAGAACTGTTCACTGGATTTTCTTCATATTTGAAACCAAGCTTTATCTAGGGAAGGCGCAGGGCCCAGTAAATTTTGGTGACCGGCACTTAATTTCCATGGTCACAGAGACACTTTGAAGATTTCAGCATATTAATCTGCATGTTATGCTTGTCAGCGTAGATACCCCAAGAACCATTCACTGGAGTTTCTTCATATTTGACACCAAGCTTTATCCAGGGAACGTGCAGGGCCCAGTCAATTTTGGTGACCTTCACTTAATTGTCAAGGTCACAGAGACACTTTGAAGATTTCAGCTTGTTAACCTGAATTGTCTGCAAGATATTTCAAGAACGATTCACTGGATTTTCTTCATAGACTTTCAAGACTTCCCTTGAATGTTTTTCAATAAGCAATTTCTTTAGTACTATTTTTGCATATTCCATACACTATGACATTCATGTCAAGGTCAAAGTCAGTCTTGAAAATATGTGCGTGTTTGAACACCTAAAGAGCAAGATATCAAGAGGTTGACTGGTCATATTTTTGTTGACATTTAACTTAAACTTTCATTACTTTATAAGTTTGATTTGATAATTTGCGGCGGGGGGATTATGTCACCTTAGTGACAATGCTTGTTTCTGGATGAATTAACAGAGCTAATATCTTGAAAATATTACATGCAGTGGGTGCAAGATGGTATAATATGAAGTTGTATGTTTCAGGATGCCCCTGTGCAAGTTGTAAATGTGTAAATCAAGCCCTGTTAGCAGTGTATTATCTGATGTCCAGTGAGGTTCTGTCATGTGTACTGACCACTAGTGATGACTTGGTGCAGACATGTCTATACTATTCAACTTTTGATAGGGATATGGAGACATTTTATGCAAAATATTCATCAAGGATAGGTGAGGTGAAATGGGGTTTAGTGTTGCATACAAAATGGCCTGTACTGAACTACCCATGTTGGTTATATAGTGCTAGCTCACTGACATACCATGTCACACTTTACACTGATCCTCTGTGGTACAGGGTGGGTAGCCTAGTGGTTAAAGTGTTTGCTTGTCATGCTGAAGACCTGGGTTCGATTCCCCCCATGGTTACGATGTGTGAAGCCCATTTCTGGTGTCCCCTGCTGTGATATTGCTGGAACATTGCTAAAAGCGGCTTAAAACCAAACACACTCACTCACTCACTGTACATGGGCACTCAGACTATCCCTATCAAACGTTTTGTAGTATATTAATGGGAAACCCATTTGCACAGAAGTAAATGAAGGTATGTGCATCATGTATCCTATTGTGCGTCAGCTATCATGACTTGTGCTACATAATGTGCAGGGGCCTGTTCCACAAAGTGATCATAGCACTATGATTAGGGAACTCCCAGACTTTATTCTTAACAGGGGCGGTGGGGTAGCCTTGTGGTTAAAGCGTTCGCTTGTCACGCCAACAACCTGGGTTCGATTCCCCACATTGGTACAATGTAATAAGCCCATTTCTGGCGTCCCCCACCGTGATATTGATGGAATACTGCTAAAAGCAGCGTAAAACCACACTCGTATCATATCATATCCCGCCGCCATATAGCTGGAAAACTGCTGAGTGCGGCGTAAAACACTAAACTCACTCACTCACTCATATCATATCCTTTAACATGGCTTACAACAAGTTTAGTGGTACGATTGCTTTGTGGAATGGAGGCCAGGTGGTTCACACAGCCAACATGTACAGAAAGTATTGATATTACGCTGAATATTTGTTGACCTTGATATGGTACTTTGATAACTGATGAAACAAGAAGTATGACAGTATCATTTCTTCCCAACTGGTTTAGCTGATGACCGCATGACAATGTATTGTGAAAGATTTGATGTTGAGCGAGCCTGTGAGGCAGTCACTCTGAAACGAACTTTAATCTACACAGACCAAAGTATGAATGATATCATGTATACATAACTTAGTAATGTCCATTGGTGATGTATATTGCACTGAAAAATCAAAATGTCTCACAATAACTGTACAGTATTATCATGGTTACGTTGAAACTTACTCCTGTAGTTTCTGTGTCGGTGTTCCATTTTGTTCTTTTTGATGTTGGTTAGTTACCATGGTTACCAGTTTGTACTGTGTTAGTGTTAATAACATCTTGTGTAGGAATATGTACTTATCAAGTCAATCAAAGTTTACACGTTTACAAACATTTATTGAACGTTTATGACATTTTTGAATGAGGGCCTAGTTGCCAGTAAAGAGGGTCAGTATCATTAGTTTCACATGCTGATTCTTGGCGGCTGTCACTGATGTTGGCTCCTTACCATTTCAGGGTCTGGCAGTAAGGTTTAAAAGTTTGAAATTGTAAATTTCTCCAAATATGAAGCCTAACTACTTTTAATTAAGAACCCTTCTTCATGCAACTTTCTTGAGATAAGTCTGAAAACATCACATGACTGGTGTGATGTTATGCTTTGAACCAGACATGTGTGATTCAAGGTTAGAATAGATCCTCTGTATCCTATCTTGGTTGTGAGAGACAACAAAATGGATCTACTGGTCAGGTCATCATACCCCAATGACATCGATCTATGCTTACAATACTGATCACTGGATTGTATGGTCCCAAGTCAGTTATTTACAGTCCAATGTCATATAGCTGGAATATTGTATAACATTAAACACCAGACAAACTTTGAACATAGTTTTGCAACTGCAGTAATTTACCTGATACAATGGTTCTGCCTGGCAGTCAACCTTCCTCTTGGTCAGTACGGGTCGTCAATGTATTGGTACAATTACTTATTACTTCAGGTTGTGTCCCTTAAGGATATCAGCTTGTTGGTTTGATTAATGAAGTTATATCACAGTTCGTATGTTTGATAAATATGCAGTAAATGATTAGTCTGTCAAAATATGGAAAGGGAGTCCTTGTCCCAGGCACACTTATACAGAACCCAGTTGACATGTTACTTTGAAGGCATTTAGGGAAATCAGTTACCCAATGTCTGTAATGGTATTTCATGTTTTCGAATGTAAGCATTATGTCACCTGATGAAACCTTAGCCTAGTGGTTATAGTGTCCGCTTCGTCACTCCATAGATCTGGTTCGATTCCCACATGGCTACATGTACATCATAGGCGGATCCAGAGGGGAGTGCAAAATTGTGTACGTACTATAAAAAAAGCAACAACAAAAATCACATGCAATTATCACACCAAGATTTATGTGTGACATTCCTCCAGGGCTGTCACCATGGTTACATTACAGTACAGTTCTAATCTAAAGAATAACAATGAATGTTCCACATGTTTCAGTTCATTCCTGATGTTATAGAGGTTGATTAAACTAAAATGATTACATATTACTGTATTTGTTGAAGGTCCTACTGATTAACACCACACACAAGTTATGTTTTATAGTAAGCAACTTCATTTAAACAGATGAAACTTTTCAATAATGGTCACTTGGCAATTAAATGCCCCTTCTGTACTTCTGTGTTGAAAAAATGTGTAAAATATCGAAATATGGACTGCAATGTACATTTTTAGTCTGATATCGTGCGCATTCAGAAAAATTACTTACAAATCAGGAAAGTTGTTCAGAAAGCAGTTATGGGTCCAGGGTTTATTAAATTAAATATGGTAATCTATTATCACACAACATTGATGTTAGGGATTGTTAATTCTGTTCCCGTGGTTACAGGTTCCTGCTACAAACAGTAATACTGTCTAGTGATTTGTTTTGATATATGATAACTTCACATTGAAAAGTACTTGTTAGTATTCTATGCAACATGTTGATCTGACAGTAGCTCTGAAGACAAATTAGTGTTAAGCCAAACGTTTTGTCTTTCTTGTTTTTTGATGGATTTTTTGCCAAAAAACTCTGGTTAGTAAATCCTAAAGAATCTTTTTAAAAATTCCAGTAGATACTTTTGTTCAAGTTCTAGCAATTAATCATTATTGATTTTCTTAAAGTTTTTAACATTTATGACAGGTTTTATTTACAGTGATATACATAATTAGTTTGTACTGACGGTGACAGTAAATATTCTTTTTGTGTTTTACTTATTTCTGTTCAGCAGAATAAAAAAGTGATTGCTTTTGAATTTTGGGGAGTTGTCAGATTAGTAAACAATGTTTGAAAATGAGTCTGGGCAAAGTAAAGTATTTGTTAATGTAAATTCCCATCAGATGAGAAATTTGAGAAAATAATTTTGTAATGTAAGCAATTTTGTTTTAAGAGATTAAGAGTTATTTGATGTAAATATAAAAATAGCAGCTAACCCCAAACATGGTGGTATGTATATATCTATATAGCCTTATGATTTTGTTTATTTTGCAGGGATTTTGAGATAAATGGCATTAAGACATTTTCATGATTTTCATCATTCTCTATTTTAGAATTGAAAAAAATGCCAAATTTGAAAAATATCTACTTGACATTTTGGAGGACTATCATTTTCTTAGAAAATCAAATCATTTGTATGATGTCCCAAGTCTTAACCTTTAGCAAGAGGCGCTTTTAAATAATCATTTCTGGCAACATGAAGTAACCATTCCCGTCCATCTAGTCATCTTATGCTCTTCCATGGTAAAAACTGAATATGATAAGCAGTCTTCATACTATCAGCTTATCTCTGTAAAACCTGAAGCTTTTCATATACTGGCAACAGATGTGGATGTTTGGTGGAACAGGTCGCTTCACTCACTCTAAACTAA